ACTCTCATGGTTGCAACAAAAGTAAGAAACGTTTGCACAGCGGCCACCCCTTCCACGTTTAACGTGGACGTCTGCAATATAAGGGGACTACATTCTAACCTCATTGCTGTCCATCACCATCTTGAGACAGCTAAGCCGGCCTTACTTTTTTTAACGGAGACGCAGATATCCTCTCCTGTCGATACATCATATTTAAAATATCCCGGTTACAGCTTGGAGCATGTCTTTCTGCCTAAAGCAGGGGTTTGTATGTTCGTCAGGGAAGATATCTGCTGTCGCCGTCTCAGCAACCTTGAAGACAAGGACCTGTCAATTTTATGGTCACGAATAGAATATGGGGGATATACCCGAATCTATGCGTGTATCTACAGGTCCCATAGTGGGAACGCTGAAATAGACCGACTCTTTAGACACGTCCAAGAAGCGACAGATTTCCTGCTCCAGCGTTATCCTTGCGCGGAGGTTGTGATCCTCGGGGATTTTAATGCCCACCACGTTGACTGGTTAGGATCTCGGACCACAGACTACGCAGGGAGAATTGCCTTTAATTTTGCGCTGACTTATGGCTTCTCACAGTTGGTACCTGAACCCACCAGAGTACCGGATGTCGAAGGCCATGCGCCGTCTCTGCTTGATCTTCTCCTGACCACGTGCCCAGATAACTACCAGGTGTGCGTCGACGCCCCCCTGGGTTCTTCTGACCACTGTCTGGTACGTTCGAAGGTGTCGATATCCACCTACTGCCGCCCAAGCGGGACGCGGCGAGTATGGCACTATAAATCAGCTGATTGGGATGGTTTACGCGAATTTTTCGCATCCTACCCATGGAAGCGCATCTGCTTTTCATCGGATGATCCCTCGTATTGCGCGGATACCGTTGCGGATACGATTTTACAGGGAATGGAATGCTTCATTCCCAGTTCTACCGTCCGTATCGGCGGTCAATCGCAACCTTGGTACGATGCATCCTGTGCTAGAGCTTCTAGCGAGAAGCAGGAATCCTATCGAGCCTGGGTTGCTGCCCGCATAGCGAAGGATCCTAACGTCACCGATCTCAAAAAGAAATTTAATGCTGCTTCTAGATCGTGCAAGACACTAATGGCCAGGGCAAGAGACGATCATATTCGCAGCATTGGCAAGAGACTTCTAAACCTTCCATCTGGATCGCGTGCTTTTTGGGCTCTCGCCAAAGCTGCGGAAGGAAATTTCTGTCGACCATCCATACCAACTCTGTGCAAACCGGATAGCACGCTGGCACATTCTGCAAAAGACAAAGCAGATCTCCTGTGCTCTTTTTTTGCCTCAAATTCTACTCTTGACGACGGGGGATTATCGCCGCCTACCATCTCGCAGTGTGATAGCATGATGCCCGAAGTACGCTTCACGCAACGTGAAGTGCGTCGAGCACTTATCTCCCTAGACGTCAAGAAGTCCAGCGGGCCTGATGGTATTCCGGCCATTGTACTTAAAACGTGTGCCCCAGAGTTGACACCGGTCTTAACCCGCCTGTTCACTCAACTCTACGCCGTTAGCCAAGTCCCGTCTTCTTGGAAGGTTGCCATTGTTCACCCTATTCCCAAAAAGGGTGACCGCACAGACCCGTCCAATTACCGGCCCATTGCGATAACCTCTATACTCTCTAAGGTGATGGAGCGCGTGATTAATACTAGGCTCCTAGCATACCTAGAAGAGAACCAGCTCATTAACGACCGACAATACGGATTTCGACAGGGTCGTAGTACTGGTGATCTTCTAGCGTATCTAACTCATCGTTGGGCAGCTGCCATTGAGAGTAAGGGGGAGGCGTTAGCACTTAGCCTTGATATCGCAAAGGCCTTCGATCGGGTCTGGCATAAGGCACTTCTATCGAAGCTGCCATCATATGGACTTCCCGAGAGATTATGCCAATGGGTCGCTAGCTTTCTTTCTGGACGTAGCATAAAAGTTGTCATTGACGGTATATGCTCCGACACTGTTCAGATCAACGCTGGCGTACCCCAAGGCTCAGTGCTATCGCCTACACTGTTTATTCTGCATATCAATGATATGTTGTTAACTAACAACGCTCATTGCTATGCAGATGACAGTACAGTCGATGCCTATTATACTGGCCGAGCTAGCATCTCTCGGGCTAAGGTTGAGGAGAATAGAGTCCAACTTGTGTCTGAAATCGAGACTTCCCTAGAGCAGATCTCCGATTGGGGCCGACGAAATCTCGTCCAGTTTAACCCCTCAAAGACACAAGTTTGTGCGTTCTCCACAAAAAAAACCCCATTTACTATAGCGCCAAAGTTCCAGAACACTTCTCTTAACATCTGTAAGAGTATCGGGATCCTAGGGGTCGAAATATCGAGCGACGTCCAATTTAGATGTCATCTGGAAGAAAAAGCCAAATTGGCTTCCAAAAAAATGGGTGTCCTTAACAGAGCGAAACAGTATTTCACGTCAGGGCAGCGACTTTTACTTTATAAAGCACAGGTTCGCCCTCTCATGGAGTACTGTTCTCATCTCTGGGCCGGCGCCCCCCAATACCAGCTTCTTCCATTTGACTCTATCCAACGCCGGGCAGTTCGTATTGTCAACGATCCCGTACTCACAGACGACTTAGACACTCTAAGCCTTCGGAGAGATGTTGGCTCTCTGTATGTTCTCTATCGTCTATACAATGGAGAGTGTTCTGATGAACTTTTTGACATGGTGCCACCGTCGCGCTTCTATCATCGCACCCTTCGCCGTCGGGTAGGATGTCATCCACACATTTTAGATGCTTGGCATTCTACAAATGTACGTGCGTCTCGATCTTTTTTACCTCGCACGTGCAAGATGTGGAATGATCTTCCTCCCGAGGTATTCCCTGAGCGCTATAATATGGGGCTCTTCAAGAGTAATGTCTATAGGTCCCTTAAAGGCCGGCAACGCATTCGCAACTCCTCTTGTGTTGCAGATGTCCATGAGCGACGATAGCCACTTACCATCAGGTGGATCGTTTGCTCGTTTGCCCCTTTTGTCTATAAAAAAAAAAAAAAAAAAAACTTTCGGCTTAAAGAAGTATTAACTAGATTTGTTTATAATTTATTATGAAACACTTATTCTCAATAATTTCTTTCCTCGAGTTAAAAATCACGGATAGCATCTATCCATGTCGACTCCCCGTCGACGCCAATTCCTCTTTTGTTTCAATTTTTAACTGTTTTTTTCGGCCTGGTCATTCTCGTAATTTTTAACTGCCTGATTTATAAAGGTATCATAATTTTTGCGTTCGCGTCGTCAGTGTGGCCAGTATCATAAATTAATAACTGTTTTATTGTACATTAAAATAGCGAAACCTTACAGAATATACTAGGGACTTACTTTGCTGGAGTTTCACGTCCTTAAGTGATTTTTGTATTTATAATATAATACACATCAGTTTTACCTTGTGACAAACTTTGTTACTCGAGATCATAATTCATCTGTATATAAAATATAATCCAAACCCTTTTAGCCGTTTAGGCGAGAACCAGTAACAAACGTATACACATATGAAAATTTTCTCATGCCATTAATCTTACTAATATTATAAATGTAAATATTTAGTTAGATGTTTGGATGTTTAGATTGATGTTTGTTACTCAATCACGCCAGAACAGCTTAACGGATCTGGATGAAATTTGGCATAGAGATAGATTATAGTCTGAAATAACACATAGGTTACTTTTCCCGTGGGATAGATTTGTTTTTACTTTTCCCTAAGAACGAACCCGACCGAAGCGGAGATGAGTCGCTAGTTTATAATAATAGTATGATTCTAGGCTACTTTTTATTTCGATACATAAAAAGATTTTCATACAATATTATTCTATTTAAAAAAAAAACCAATGATCATTAAAACGATAACATAAAAATTTATTTGCCAATAAAATAACTCGATTATTTTCGAGCAGAAGAAAAATATTTATTTTCCAACTCGATCCAGATTTATCTTGCTTCCTCATAAATTATAGTCTTCCGTGCAATTACACGGGATAATTCAATGTAGTAGCCGGAGGCTCATAATTTTGTATAAACCCGACATTTTTCTTTAGTGTAATTCTCATTTTTAAGGAGATAAAGATGTATTTTTGTAAAAAAGTGAATGTTTGTTAAGTAACTTCATAATCACTTAATTTATAAGTATTCCGCTCTTGTATTCAGCGCTTTTTAACGTCCCACTGCTGGGCGCGGGCTTCCCATCGGCGGGCGGGCACGAGGGAGATGTGGCCGTAGTCAAAAAGACATTCCACTCTCAGGGTGTTTGTTTAAGCTGTGAGATCCACTAAAATTGGCGAAAATATCGCGTAACATATTCACAAAAAATGCAAGCGGATTAATCGCCTCCTCCTATTTGAAAGTCCAAAACTACACCTGACTACATTTTTTTCTCTATTACTATATATCCCACCACAATAATTGGAACGTATAGAACTGTATCAGTATTATATTAGGACAATAAAAAAGTTTTACTTAAATTAGTTTCGCCGTATTTTATTTTATTTTTATTTTATTTAAGCTTACAAATTATAATTATTGCTAGATACATAAATAAAGAAAACAGAAATGGTCTAGCCACAGATCGATCTAGTGTCGAGCTAATATTATTTGGAATGACGATGGAATAGTTAAGGTGAATTATAAAAACCATTTCATATAATATTCAATATTTAACGTTTAACTTAGGAATTTAGAAGTCAAATATTGAATGAATTTTAACTATAATACTGAAGCTAGTAAAATGAATATAAAACTTATTAATTTAGCACAACTTTATTTAGAAATTACTTAAGTCAAATGATTTTAGGTAACAAACAAAAAGCCAGCCTTTACAAAGCATTGAAAGATAAATGAAAATGTAAATAATCAGTGATAACAAACATTCACGTGTTATTTTGGCTACAATACAGTGCATAGACTGATAGATACTTGAAATGACCCAGCCGAGCTGAAACAAGCGATATGGTCGCTATTAGCGAACTCACGCCAAAATGGCCGACGAAGAGAAACTGCCGATACCCCCAACATTTCTCGAAAAAGTTCTATTTTACACGACAGCTACTTTCGTTCTTCTTGCTACTTTCAGCCTCTTCGCATTTCTATTCTTAGTCCCATTCGTGATTGAGCCAGCTTTCACAACTATATTTATGCAATTTGATCCTGTAGCAGCATTATGTGTAACCGCCCAAGTCAAGCATTTAGTCGGGGCGAGCAACTGCACATGGGCATCTTGTAGGGAAGGTTGTACTAAGGACTTGTATGAATGTACGCAAATACGTGTGAACTATAAACTAGGATATGCCCCAAATATCACAGTGACTGAGTACGAGAATCTGATAAGAGCTGAGCGGTCGTTAAGAAAAGATTACGATTACGAAAATTACGAATCGCCGTTAGAACCGCCTGATACTGATATGGAAAACCAAGAGATTCCCGACGCAATCCCAACTGGCTTGCAAGGCAACGATTCAGAGTGGTACTTCACTGGGGCTAGACTATTCCCCAACGTCAAAGGGTGCGGCTATCCGCCCATACTTAATTGCACCATATTCTATGGCAAATATAGGCCTCTAGGTACAAATTACTCTTGCTATTATAGTCGGGTGGATCCTGGTTTAGTTATAACCGAGCTGGATATGTGGCAGAACACCCTGAATTTAGTGTACGCCATGGCGATACCGATACCATCGTTTTTCATATCGGTAATATACTTGACGTTTGCATATTTTAAGATCTATAATACCGAAGAAGAATCGGAGCAAGCTCCATTGCAAAGTGATGCTGAAGCGATGGCCACAGGGGATGATGGAAAACCCACAACCCCTGGTTCAGACACATTTAGGGAAGATCTCGCGTGTTTTGGACATCAGTTAAAGATGCAGTTGGCTAATGAAAAGCCTAAAGAGGGTTTTGAATCAAATAGCCCTCCCATCTCCAATTCTGCCTCACTGTCTGGGTAAGATTTATGATTTATTATTTGTATTGTATTGATTTGCTAGTGTTGTGTAGTTTATAGTGACTATTATTGTATTGATTTGAATCACTTGAAATGTTTTAGAAGAATATTCAAAGTTATAACTAATCGAGTCAAATGTGCCATTAGAGTTAAACTTACAATTGAAAATTTTGTAGATATATTTACATACATTTATTATAAATATAAAATTAGTATTTGGGTATTTTTAGATTTGCATGTTTGATTGTATACAAAGGTTATATTAAAACGTGCTTAATAAAAAAAATAAGGTATATATAGTTTTAGGATTTTTCTGACTATATAATTTTAAAGCCAGAAACTAATGGGAAGTATAAAACAATGGGGTAAAATATTTACATTTTTTTTAATAAAATTAACTTACAACTTGACAGGACCAAGTCATCTTTCGTGAACGCCTAAAGAAAAACACACAGAGGTACGTGAGCTTTTAAAAAGCTCGAAATAAATCATTTGGAAAAGCACACTTTAATTATACTGAGACGTATAACTTATTTAATATACACCTATTTATTTAAATGTAAATTAAATTTAAATTTTACATTACTTATTTTTAAGCATGATCTTTTGCTTTTTACTTTAATAGTGCATTTTATGAATTTTGTATACACTTGATGAGAAAATTTAATTAATTTGTTATGAAACCATAACAAATTAATTAAATTATACATATAATTAACAAACGTTAATTTTTATATATTTTGATGTCTGATTGAAAAGAAAAACAAGTTATTAGCATTTTATTTCATCATTATGCTATGCTTATAATAAAATATTCGAGGTTTTTTAAAGAACTTCGTTACCACCACCATAAAATTAATTTTCATGTACTAATATTAAGAAGATATTTCGGTAAAATGCTAAAAATATGCTGATACGGATAGTGAAACCGAATGAAGAAAGTATTGCTGTCATAACCTATACATATAATAAAATTGTTACTAAGCCGAATCTGTACATTAAATATTTTATGGAAAATCTTTTTGAAATAGACATTATTATCGATACAGAGGCCGAATCTATAGTTTTTAGAATTTTTGTCGGTCTGTCTGTTACCGCATTACGGAAAAACCAGGAGGGATTTTGATGAAATTCGGTATGATGGTAGCTGGTTATCCGGGTCAACATATAGGATACTTTTTATTGCGGGAAAATATCTCATTTCTGAGAAAAATACAAAAACTGCAATGTAAGAGTATACTAATATGTAAAACTGTTTTAGGAGTTTAATTTCCACCAATTGTTTCTTCGTGAATATCTACATCCTGTGTAAAACCTACATAACAAATTTCAAGCTCTTAGCATTTATACTATCTGAGATTTTGTGCTTAATCAGTGAGCGATATTGATATATAAAGATTTATAGTTAAAGTAAAAAAAAACATTATCAAAATCATTACTAATTTACGAAAAATAAAAAAATAATAGTATCGTGTAAGAAACATTTAAATTGAAGTATGTTACAGGAATAACGTTTTATTTTTCAGATGACAGGGTTCCTGAAGAGGCGTTGGTTACAGAGTGCATACAATGAGATGCGATGGACATTTTTAAGAAATCCGCTCGAGCCGCTCACAGGCTTTGCTTTCAAACTGCAAGAAATCCTAAGAATGGAGCTCTTTTTATAAGCGTTGTGAATTATGACGTTACAAGGTTTTTCGTGACAACATAATATTATAGATAATGTAATAATTATAATTTAAAAAATCTTAAAAATCAATTTTGCCTCTTTAAAAGCTCTTCAATTTAATTTACTGTTTTACTTATTTGTAAGGTATTTATGTACATACATTTCCTATAAAATAATAAGTGTCAAGTTAAATTAAAAATTCTAAATGAAATTCGTCCACTCTTTTATATATTGCGATTACATTTAATGGAGGACAAGTTGCATGACTGTTCCACATCCCTTTGGTGAATTGCTCAACACATAGATCGAATATTCGCGGTGTTGTCACGAAATACTCAATAATACTTAGGTATAAAAAAGAAGTTTTATCCTTTTTATGGAAATAAGTACATAGTACGCTCTCATGCTGAATGTGTCAAATGCACGCGTCATATTAAATGTACGGTAAAATATTTTAAATACATATATATATGTATGTATTAAAATAACTGAATCGAGAGATCATTTAGAAAATCTAAAAGAAATATGTTGTAATGTTTAGAAATAGTCACCGATTAATAATAGAACCTATTGTCAGCGGCAAGCATTTTAGTTAGCGAATTGTTTTACCATTTTTGTTATATTATATGAATAAGAAAAACATTAGTATTTTAGAAGAGAGCAAAAATATTATTGAATACTTATCAAAGGTAAAAAATTACATAAAATATACAAATATTTTGAGAACAGATCACACTTAGCTAGTACCTATTTATCAAATTTGTTTTGCTTTACCAAAGTATTTAGTAAGGTTTTTTTACGAATCAAAATACGAATAGAATGTACATATTGAAGAAAGTTTGTTACGTTCCATCAATCGTCCCTGCCGTATTATAGACGTATCGATTCTTCCGTCCCGTGCCTCAACTTTTTAAAAATTCATCGATACATGTCCATAGCTCCAAACCTTAAATAAAGACCAAAATAGCCAGTTGTTTAATCAGAACTATAATTTAATTTCAACATTATTTTAAAATAAAACTAAGTATTTCTTCGGGGTTTTTCACGGATTTATTTTGATTTTTGGTTCCCGACGTTTCGAATGCTTTACAGCAATAATGGTTACGGGAGAGAGTTCTCCCTAAAAATCAAAATAAATCCACGAAAAAATCCGAAAAGGTAGTTTTATTTAAAATGTCAAATATTCGTGTAATTCAACATTATTACTAAGATACTTGACTGGTTTTAGTGAAACCGAATGACAAAATAAAAAATGTCATGGCGATTGAAAGTGCTTTAAAGCTCTATATTACGAATAATTTAACTTATTTTTCATATTATATTAAAATTTGAATGTCGAAACGCTTTTATGGTTGTAACTGAACGCTTCAAATAAATGTTTCTGTAATAATATAAAAAAAGGCTTGTGAATAATGCCTATACTAGAATTAAAGGCAATGCGAAATATACGTACGTACTATGAGTTCCACTAAGCTTTGCTACTAACTGCTTTTGAGCGTTTGTTTTTAAAAACTTTATTACGCCTATTTATTGTTATAAGATTCTATTTAAATGTATGAAAAAATATATTTATGTTTCGTGTTTCGATTTACTTTTAATCATAATTGTTCTATAAAGTGTATTGTAAGGACTTAAGTATTGCTTAGACTGTGGGTTATTAGATATTGCAAGTACTACGCACACGTTATGTGTTTTATTATAAGAAGTCATCTAGCCGTTCATAAATAGAGCTGATAATTAACATAAAATCGCTTAATTTTCAATTTTAGAGTCACAAAGGTTTTGTCGGCGTTTACAAATTGTTTACAACATTTTCAACTCCATTACTTTAAATATTATATAATTTAAAAATAAGAAGTATATTTGTTTATTATCATGTTTTAAATTATGTTAAAATCAGAATTATATGAGATTTTATCTCTACTTCAATCTTAGACGCCTTTATTCTATACACTCAAGAACTTTTCGATCCTACGTAAAAACCTTGGTGTGCTCTTTTTACTGTAAATATCACATCTGCAATACTTTAGATAAACATTAGTAATTAGATACAAGGGATAAAGTGATTGTTTCTATTTCTTTATTTACTATTTACATCACGGTTATTCATTTTATGAAGTGCAGTGAAATATATTGAGAGATAGGAAATGGTCAAGTTTCGCCATTTTACGTCTTTTAAACTTTTTCATTGAAAACCTATAGTAATCATAATCATTACTTTTAAAGACGTTTTGTTGCTTAAATATCTCACTGTGCTTTAAATTTTAAAAGCTTGGTTAATATATAAAAGCTTATAATAACTAGATTAAGGAATCGAAAAGCAATTTATTGATATCATTCTGTAATGAAGTCAAATTATTTTGAATGTTACAATTTATTTTAAACCATAAATAAAATGGCCGTGATGAAACATTAACATTTCTTAATGTTCGATATTTTTAATTATATTTGTATATCAGTTAATTAATAATAATATAATTTATACGTAAATTTATTTCAACTTGTGTATAATATATTTACATATATAGTGATAATAAAAATTATTTCCAATTTATGAAGTCTCGAATATTCGCTTCAATGTGATGACTGCTGTAATCGCGATGTGATAAATTGTATAGAGTGAAGGGAATGTTTATTATTTAAATGTAATATATCATATATATATACGTGTTTTTATCATCGCCAGCGGACACTGCTAATTTTTAAAACAAATGTGTCTCCATTTATAGCAAAAACAATATTATTATAACAACATTAATAAAATATGAATGTAATATACGGAACGGAGTCTTGATGCTCAGATTTATTCTGACACTATATATTCTTTGTTCAGTATTGCTTACAGTTTGTGCTTCAAATGAAAGTAAATTAGAGATACATGTGGGTTATCCATTAAAAAATCAAAATCCTCAAAATAATTGTACCTTAATAAATATAATAGACTTATTGTTAACAATTGCAATGTCCGATAGCTTATAATCTTGTACGATTTATTTAAAATTTAAAAACTTTGAATTATTGCTATCGTTGATCCTAGTATTAGGAGCTTTTTGTATATAAAATCTATGTACGTTTATTTTAATGGAAAATGGTTGTAATCATGGTTTTTGTTAATTTCATTTACTTATATATACGTAATATAATCTACGAAAAAGCAGCAAAAGACTTATTTTGTTTCAAAAAGCTTCTTACTAATTTAAATTAACATTTAAATTTCGAAAAAAATTACATTAGATACACGTCACTGCCAATAATTGTGGTCACTATTCACTCTTTACACTTTCTCTGAAACCTGTCCAGAATCCTTGAAATTTAATATCCGTTTTCTTGTATCAAATTTCTGCTTTTTGCATTTAAATACGCTTAAGATTTATTATTTTGTGAGATTAATATGAAATGTATACAATTAACCAAAATCCAAATAGATACATATTCCTTACTATTTTAATAAATCTTTATCTTCTTTTTTTTAAGAAAATCAGAACACAGTGTAATGTTGTTTTATATTTATCGTTATCATATTTTATAAAATTAATAAAGAGTTTATTTTTTTGTTATATTCACATACTTAAAAGATCATTTTGCAATCTCAAGAACGTCAAATATAAAGAGCTATCCTACATTGTCATTAATAATTAGCCCAGTTGCTTTGCGCCTGAAAAAAAATTGGCACAATTTTGTAAATATTCGATAGATGGCACAAGTTTATTATTTTTAATAATAAAATATACTGTTGTTGAATTAAAAAGAAAATGATATGAATAATAATAATTTTTACTTGGTGTTTTCTATGTGTTGACGTTAATTTTATTAACAGATGTAAGGAAACAATGTGTTACGTTTTATGTTAAGTGTATGCACAAAACTTTTTAAATTTTAGTTTTTGGTAAAAAAAATATTGAAATCGAAAAGGGAGTTTTTAATACAACTATATTTTTTTTAAATTAATAGTTGGGTCTAATTAATTCCTTCAACAGATTATTGTAATATTCGTGTCATAAGTATTGGAGTTAGCTGCGAACTTGTTGCAGGCACTGCCGTGCACGCGTTTACTTAGGCGTTTTTCCTAAATAAATGCGTGCACGGCAGTGCCTAATATGAAACAGAACTACGATTCCAATTTTGTTAATTATATATTATTTTCATTCATTTTTTTCCAGAATTGTATAAAATTATATTAGAAAAACAAATCAAACCTATGAAAGAAATTATTTTTTCCTCATACATATTTATTTATAATTAATTATTTTATACCTATTTTTATAATTAAGAAGATACTTTTTTTGGACTGAATTTTTATTTAGAAAATGATAAAGCACTAATCGTATAGTTTGTATATTTGAGAATTAAAAAAACAAATATCTTATATATAAATAGGTGTTTAGTTATTTTTATGCACAAAACATTTAAATCTATCGAATTATTTTTAATTATACTTTTTGTATAAAATCTAACATATTCACAGATAAGAATAAAGTTATAAAATATATTCATATTATTTTGTAAACGCGTGAACAAATTGACAAGTTAGAAGTTAATTTGACTATTTTTGACTTGAACATTTTGAAATTACTTTCATATTATATAATATTTTCTTGTAAAAATAATAATATTGAGGTGTCAAGTTATTTACGCACAAATATTCCTTTAATAATCTAAATGTCATATTTTGTTCTAAGTTGTGGCATAATGTAAGTTGAACGTGCGGCATTTTAGCGCTACGTAAATTTTCATCGTATAGCAATTCATTCATTTGGAACTGTTGCCTTATGACCTTTTTGTATATAAAAATATAAATGAAGGTTAGTAGTAAATAAAACATTTATTGGCTTCGATGTTGAGTTTTATTTATGGGTGACTTGTTTTTTTTTAATTATTCGAGAGTTCAAAGTACGAAATCGATACAATTTATCGATTTGGTACTTTGAACTCCGATATCAAACGTCGTCCCTGGATTTTTAATAATTGATAGCATTGTAAAGCTATCGGTTTTGTACTTTTCATACGAATTTAGAATTGTGTTGAAAAGTGGGGATATTGTAAGTCCTTTTTTAACGGATTTCCAAATAGGAGGAAGTTCTATGTTCGTTTGTATGTATGTTTTTTTTACTTAAAAGGTTTCTTTACTTTTTAAAATTAGTGAATAATTTCAAAAATTACCTTTTCCACTCTTAAAAATGTTTTTAAAAGCTAAATAAACGATATCGAAAATATCCAATTTTAATGAAAAATCGACTTTAATAAATAAAATATTATAAGAATAAATGGAAATTCAAATTCAATTAAATTCAATTGATAATTGTTTAATTTTGTATGTAAGCTCAAAGGAATAAAGATATTAAAAAATGCGAAATTAATACAAAATAAATTATTTCAGCATAAACTTTAATTAATGGAGCCGCAGAGACGGACTAATAACAACATTTTAGTATTTAATTTTTTTATTAGGAGGTATGTTGTAATGTTTGTAAAACTACTGCACATAAGCTGTCTCCATTAAGAATTTTACTCAAATCCGTTATGGCTTTACTGAGTGTGATATACACATTAACTGACACACTAATTTTGTTATTTATAATAGTTATGTTAAGAACGACTTACTTCACTTCGATCGGGTGCATCCCTAGGTGCCTTTCAGTAAGTAGTGCATTTCCAGGTCCTATGTGTTATTTCCAGGTCTTAGTCTATATGTGTACCAAATTTCATCCAAATCCGTCCAGCCGTTAGCGTAACAACATACACAGACATACAGACATAAACTTTCGAATTTCTATAGTAGCCCGATATTATTAATGTTTTATGTAAATATTTAGTTATTCATATCTTTTGAAGGCGCGTTAAAAAATTGTCTATATTTTAATTGAAGGAGCATTTAACTCTGGAAGTCATAACTGCAGAAACAGTGAAAATTAACTGAAAGCGTAAATAGAAAAAGTTGTATTTTAAAGCCAGTTTTAAAAAGTAAGTAGTTACTATTCAAACAAAATCTGTTTTCGCAAATTTACCTACTAACTAGAAGTTTGGTATGGGATTCAGAACCCTATTGGCAAGTAAATAATTACTATAATATACCTACTGTATGTTGGTCCGACGATGTATGTTACTACCTCGGTGGTGTAGTGACTAGCATGTACGGCTGCACACTCGGAGGTCCTGGGTTTGAGTCCCGGGTCGGGCCAAGTTTAGTTATTGAGTCTTTCTGTATAGTAAGTCTCAGTAACAGCCCGGAGTTGGGAAGTTGGCGGTGTTTCACCCCCGTGCCTCGGAGAACCTTAACTCTCACTGGTCGTGTCGACTGGTCGTCCCACCAGAGTATGAAAGTGACAGGAATAGAGAGTGCACTTGTGTCTGCGCGTACACGTGCTGCACTATAATATCTCCTGCGCAGTTGGCTAGTCTCAATGAGATTGGCCGCCGTGGCCGGAATCGGCTAGGAGAACATCATCAACATCATGTTGGTCCGACATAAAAGAGGAGGTTTTACTTTTTATAAAAAAAAAACTTTATTTTTTACTAAAAACGATAAAATCAATAAAAAATAGTTTTTAGAAATATATTTTTATCGATTACATAAACGTTCCTTATACAAAACAAAAAAATTGGAAGATACTGTTTCATCTTTGCCTATTTATAAATAAGAATTATAAAAATCGATTCAAAGTTGCCTTCGTCATAACTTTATTAACAGTATCAAATCATTGTGTTGTCATCCAAAAAAAATTACGAACAAAGTTTTAAATCAACACATTTAGAAATAGGTTAAATTAGATATTTATTTAGTGGACAGTTGGTACAAAGGCGAGTTAAAAATAACGATTGATTCATAATAATTACTTAGTATCGTGTAAATAATCGATATTAATTAACGCAACATGAGGTAGCTATTATGAAATTACAAACAGACGAAATATTCAATTTTATTTATAAGTATACATTGTGGACATAAAAGCTTATTGTATAATTCATTATATAAAAAAAAATATAATACGGTGTTTATTTCATATTGTTTCAAGGTGTTTTTCAAATAGGTTCTTTAGTGACTAGACCGGCGGGTCCCTGCCCAATGACAGGGGATAGACCGGCAACAGCAACTGCCTTTAATGGTCTGAAAAAGAATATAAAATAAAATATACAGCTAGCTTTTATTTTATTTAATAATAGTACCCATAGTATAATAATAAAAGCAAAAATGTTAAGTTTTACCAAACGTGTCCGCATCCATCACCAAGAAGACCTGAGAGCGTAATACTTTCTCTATTACCATTTTTGAATTTTTGAAATCATATTTGTAAAATAGTGGGTATGCACTGTCTGTAACAAGTATGTGTTTGAGACATCTATAGCCTTAGTCTCTCCCGTGACGATGATTGCTGTAAAGCATTCGAAACGTCGGGAACCAAAAATCAAAATAAATCCGCGAAATAATCCGAAAAGATAGTTTTATTTAAAACCTGAGAGCGTATCAACAACTTGTAGATCCAATGCTCTTAAAGTTCCAAATTGTAGAATTTTACAATTTCATAAAACGTCTCAAAAATCTCAAATTTGAACGCGAGATCACTAAAAAGCTCACGCTTGAGGGTTTCTGGTAGAGATCTCTTAAAGAGATAAGTCATCCTTTGTACACTTGGTATCTGTTTTCACTTGTATGTTTTGTTTTCTGGTACATACATAAATAAAAAAAAAAAACAAACCAAAACTGCTAAAAATGTCTGTAGCGTTAGTGTGCTGACTTTAGAAATATGTCTCTATCAAAATCATGTAAATGTGAAAACAAAAATGTTAAGCTACTAGCGCCATCTAGTTATTAAATAGGCAAAGAAACATTTAAAAAATCTATCCTTTTTTTATTTACAGGTTATTTTTTTTAAATAAAATATTACAACACTTATATTTCAGAATAAAAATTGTATTTCTATGTAATTAAAAAATAATAATATATCATTTATTTTGATGTTCTGTTATAATTTCAAATACACGTCATCTAGAGATAAAATACAAAAGCATATATATATATATATATATATATGGTGTTACAATAATGTACTAGATAGCGCTTTTCTTCATATAATATGATTTAATTTCGTATGTAAAACCTAGACGGCGCTGTACATCAACAATGGTATCCTAGTTTTAGAAATTTAGCCAAGATGGCGCTGCTAAATAATAATAATAAATGTTTTTATTTCAAGCTTATTCACTAATAAAAATGTTAACAAAGATACGCAATAAAAGTTACATACTTAAATCCTAATTCGTCAGGAGGCACTCCCAGTTTGGCCAACTTCGCTTCATAAGTGGCTAAAAGATTATCATGAGCTTTTCGAAGTCTCGCTGCTTCATAACGTAAATCTTCCACTTGAGTGTCTTTTAATTTAAGAAGATCCTACAAATATAGACATTTGGATATAATTTAAAATAAATATTCTTAGAACACTTTAATAGCGTGTGTTTTTGATAAACCAGATGAAAATTATAGAAAAAGTACAATCGTTTTTGACTAAATTCTGACAATTTAGGTTGTGAATCTATGGGCTTGAAATAATGAAATAGTTCCACTATTGTCCTCATTAACTCGAATGTAAAAAAAAATATTGTACTTTCTATTAGATAGCACATAGGTACCATAGGTACCATAGTCCAGGCAATATTTTTGGAAATAAATCATAATGTTAATGGTATATAAAGCTAATAAGTAGAAGGGCGTTAAGTTATTTAAGATTAAATAAAAAAAAGATCGGTCAAGTGCGAGTCGAATTCGCACACAAAGGGTTCTGTACCATCGTACATGTACTTTTTATTAATATGACTTTTATTCTATGTATTTATAGTATATTTATTAACTTCGATGATTGATTACGAACGTTAAAATAATGTTTCTTGTATTTTTATTTATTTCTATTATTTGTCGTTATAGCGGCAATAGAAATAAATACTCTGTGAAAATTTCAACTCTCTACCTATTACGGTTCACAAAATACAGCCCTCTGACAGACGGACGGACGGACCGTCGTACAACGAAGGCTTAGTAATAAGGTTATGCCATGAGGTACGAAACCAGAAAAACAAACTGATTGTACTACCTATCTATAAAAGAACAAAAGCGTCATTTTAAACAAATTCTTAGTTTAACTGAGTACTGTGAGAGCTTACGTGCATTTCCCGAGGACCTAAATCACGTCCCTCCATTTTCTTCAGCTTAGCTTCTAAAAGCGCAGTTTTCAAAGATGCTTTCTGTTGAACCTCCATTACAGCTCTTGAAAATCTTTAAATAATATAAGTATTTGTTAATGGCATTTCTAGACCAAATAAAATAGGCATTTATTACAAAAAAATGAGATTCGAAGAGAAGGCGAATATAAGTTAGTGGTAAACTTAGATTGGCACGAGTATTTGATATTTTAAATACAACTGGTTTTCGTATTTTTCACGGTTTCGGTTCCGAATGCGTTACATACAGACACGAAAAAATAGTTTTCTTTAGAAGACTGTGAATAATTTCATATTACCTACATTATTAGGTATAAATGCGAAAGATGAAGGAGTGTGCTTGGTATTGTTTTGAGTAGATTTCAGATTAAACATATATTTTAAAATTATAAATATACTAGGACCCGACAGACGTTGTCCTGTCTACACGTCTTTAATTTGAAAATTTCAAACTTTTTTTAATAATTTTTTTGATGAAAATTATTATTCAAATTGTGAATCTAAACCATTCCCAGATCCCCTTGAACACACACAAAAAATTTCATCAAAATCGGTCCAGTCGTTTGAGAGAAGTTCAGTGACATACACACTCACAGAAGAATTATATATATAAAGATAGAAATTATTACCTGGACTTCAACTCGTCTCTTTCTGCTAAGACGCGATCAAATCTCACTTGTAAAACCTCGTACTCCCATTTAAGAACCTCAAACTGTTCTTCTAAAGAAGCGAGTTGTTTAGTTTTTGTCTGAAATAAAACAAGGTCAAATAGCATTATTGTGTTTTAGCTCTTCGGCGACCGAACTTCGCTCGGCGTTTTTGGGAAATATGTGTATAAAAATTACGTTTTTTCAGTAAATATTTGGCATTTGTATGGTTAACGCCATTTGATATATACAGTACAAACTTATATAATAGAAACACAAAATCATTAAAAAGTTATATGTACTTATTTTTATAATCAAATGTTTTTATTCGGAATTTTTTAAATTTTTAAATTCCACTATATCAGATGATTTTTTAAACTTTTATGAAATCATCCTTGATATATGGATTAAAAAAAATAAGAATCAATTCATAATTACAAAGATATTGAGTAACATACTAAAAAACTCATACATCCAAATTGAGTCCTTTCCTTTTCTAAAGTCGGTTAAATATACAGATTATAGATATTGTAACTTACAGCTAACGCTGCCTTATCACGATCATAATTAGACATCTGCCGTTTTAACTCTTTATTATCTGCGACAGCCGCCTCGAGTGGCTCGCGAAGGCTCTTCGTCTCGGCCACAGCGTCCCTGGCTATCTTTTCTGCCCTCTCTTTGACTTTTTGCATATCTTCCATCTGCTGTTTTAAACTGCTTATAAGTCCTTAAACAGAAATAAATATAGTTAAAACTTACAATAAGGGCATACAGAATCAGTGTTAGCATATCCTCAGTAATATTCATAAAAATTAATAAAAATAAAGTATAGGAATAAGTAAAATAAGACTAGGTATATAGTATAAATGTGCGTATGTTTGTTTGTTTGATTGTTTGTTTGTCTTTCTTTCACGTCGAAAAGGAATGACGGATTGGCGTGATTTTTTGTGTGGAGATAGTTGGAGGGCTGGAGAGTGACATAGACACACTTTTTACCGCGCGAGATTATCTCATTCCCACGGTATAATACCACTCAAAAAATATTTATGATCAGAATTACTTGAAACTTAGTATTAATGTTCTTCAATACAATTAAATAAATACGTGTTTTAGTATTTTTCGAAATTCATCCCATAAGGGGGTAAAATAGGGCATGAAAGTTTGTATGAAAACTACCTTTTTAGAGATTTGTTTTCGTAGTTTAGCGCGAGCGAAGCCGCGAGTTTTCCTAGTAAGACTATAATGTGAGAATGAAGTTTCTTTTAGAACATATGTAGTTTTGCGATGTTAATAATAAATACATACCCAAGTTATTTAAAGTTATGTCATTATAATAATTTTTCAAATCAAAAAATGCTTTATCGTGATGAGCGATCAATTCTGACAACTGCTTATTTTTCCTTTCTTCCACTTCAGTTATTTCAGTACGATGTTTCACAGCTAATTCCACTTTGGTTTCGTGAAGCTTTTTCTCAGCTTTGTCTTCGATTTGCCGCGCTCTTTCTTCAAAGTCGGCCCTAACTTTTGATAGTTCCTCAGCATGAACAAGCTTCGCTCTACGTAACTCGTCTTGAGCGGCTAAAGCTTTCTCTCGCATCTCTTGACGCAGTGCTCTTTTATCATTCAAAAGCTCTAATTCCTGTTCAGTATGTTCTTCTTTTGCAGCTTTTAGGGCAACTAAATTTTCAGCTCTTAAAGCAGCCGCCGCTGCTTGCTGTTCATATTTTAAATGCTTAATCTTTTGTTTTTCGGTTTCTAAAAGCGCTTCGTTTTCCTCTTGAGCTTCTTCTGTAGCACGTTCTCTGTTTCGAAGTTCAGCTTTAGCTTCTTCTAGTTGCTGGCGCGTTATTTCCCAAAATGTTCGGATTTTATCTCTTTCTAGTTGAAAATAATTTCTCTCTTCTCTTTCTTTGTCTAATTCTTCTTTTACTCTAAGTGTGAATTGTTCCAACTTTTCACGAGTCATTTCTGAGGTATCTACTCCATCTATGACGATAGCTGCTAAAACAACCAAAATATTATAGAGCCGGTTATATTTAGATTTATTTTAAATTAATTGTTTCTTGTCAAACATGTATGGCCTTGTGTATTTAGCTAAAACTACTAAACATAGCCTCACTTTGTATGGAATTTTGTAGAAGCAATTGGAATTTTGTACTTACTCGATCATAAATTGAAATGAAATAAAGATATATATATATATATATATATATATATATATATATATATATATATATATATATAAAAATCTTAATTAATGTAATGTAGTAAAACAAAAATGTCCTATTGAAATCTATTCAATCTTTAAAATAATGTGTGACTAAGCAGCAACATTGATAAATTTTTGAGTACTGCTTCTTTGTTTACTGAAGAGCAAGCCATAATTTTGATACACAAGAAAATTATTCGTCATACTCACCAGGTGCTTTTTTGCCTCCACCCTTTCCTCCTTTTGGCGCCTATAAAATAATACGAGAGTTGTTATTTTTAAGACTCTACACTGGAAATATGAAAGTAGTTGATCAAATTTGATGAAAAATCTTACCATTTTTATAAAATTTTAGTTTTTCAGTAACAACAAATTATGACATCTGAACTGGCGATATCAAAATAAAGAAGGCAACGTAAAGCGTTGTCACGTAGAATAACATACTCGGTTACTACAGTTACTGTCGTTATTTACACTTGTAGATAAGTAAAGTGAAAATCGATTCAAGGCTTTGATGTTTTAAACGATTTATTTATTGATTAAGTTTTCATAATTTTCATAGCACTCGATTTACATAATATATAATGTTATATACATCTATACTAATATTATAAAGAGATAAAGTTTGTGAGTTTGTGACTTTGTAGGGGGTAATCTCTGGATCTACTGAACCGATTTAGATGAAAAATAAGAGATAGTTTGAGACCCTGGGGAGGATATAGGATAGTTTTTATCCCGGAACTCATTCCTTAAGGGGGTGAAAATGGGGATGAAAGCTTGTATGGGGAATCAAAGTTTGTATAGGGACGAACCCGAGCGAAGCGAGGGTGAGTCGCTTGTACTTAATATGTTCAAAAGTTATGAGATGATTTCACTTGCCAATGGTACTATTTAGTTAAAAAAATAGCTATACCTCTAAAACTAAAACATGAAATAAAAGAGGATTGATAAGGAACTACCTAAGCTTTACAAACTTATATAAAAGTATTTTTCTAGACATTTTATTTCTAGGTAAAAAAATACGGTAATCTAAAGAATTGAAAAAGCAACATACTATGTATGTGTATATATATATATATATATATATATATATATATATTAAAAATAGAAATAGGTACATATTATGTCATACTCTAATAATATATTTAGTACCGAATAATGTAGCATTACATAAACCTTAGTGGTTTTAATATTAGATTTATTTAAAAAAGAATATGTAAAACTTTATAATAATAAAAAAATTAAGTCAAACTATTACAATGGACGATTATTTCTTCTATATTCACAATCACATATAACAAAATCGATATTAGCTATCTATATATATAAAAAAGACAGCTGTTATCGATAAGTCATTATTTTCTGAAATTCCAGCTATAAGCTAAAATGTAAAGTAATTTTAACTTGATTAAAAATTATTCTAACTCCGTGACGCCAAAATTCTTTCAAAATGTTAGCAGAAATTTGTACCTTTAGTTTATATACGATATCCTTTTTAAGCCTAATATTCATAGACTATCTTCTTGGGAATGGCTTTGTGGATGCTTTCCAAAAAATAATATGTAGAATTATTTGTTTTGTTCGTAAATCTTTAAGGGAAGATGAAGAGTTACGAGTTACGGAGGAAGTGAACCTGCCAGTACTGGTTGTTGAGATTGTGGTCCTCGGATTGACTATATCGGTATTTTGTTTATTATTTTAATCTTATAATATAAAGTGAGCAATTCTTGTATATACTATATTGGCAGAGTTTGTTTGTTTGCTTGTTTAAATGCGCTAATCTCAGGAAATACTAATCCGAATTGAAAAATTCTTTTTTCTTTAGATAGCCCGTTTATTCAGGGAGGCTATAGGCTATATATCATAATATATATATTCTACCTATTGCATAGTAAACGTTAAAACGTACCTAGGAACGAACCTGAGAGTCTAGTAGTTTGACTATAGTATATATATTGTATTGTGTATTTCGAAAACAGCTGGAACGATTTGAATCAAATTTTGTATATATATATGTAGATAAGAATTTGCTTTATAAGTTTTTAAGTACATATTCTCTCCGAAAAACGCCAAGCGACGCTCGGTCGCCCAGGTACTTAATATATATTAGGTATACAATATAAATATTACTAGAAAAACTAAATTATCATATTTCAGTTCCTAAATAGATATAAAAAGTTTCGTGGAAAAGATAGGATCGATGCTCTCCTGCAACAGAGTAGGGAGGCGTTGCAGCAAACCAACGAGTTCCTTGAGAAATGGCGTCTAAGACGGGTAAAAAGACGTATTTTATATCATTACTATTTTTCATTCCCCCACAAAAGCTGAATTAAACAATTGATCAAGCGCAAATAGGATTTCCGTTAAAGAGATGCGGTACAAGGCATTTTAAAGCAATTCAAAGATTTTGGCTTTTCTATTGAAACTAAATAATATTTTTAGTTGTTAGTGATTTATTGAAAGGTAAATATAGTATTAGATTTATTAAAAGTAGACATTTTTCTATAATTGTCGAAGCGAAACAAACACCGTACAAATATTCGCACTAATCACACAAATGAATGCCCCCAGCGGTACTCGAACCCGCGACCGCTGGCACAGCAAGTATGTAACGTAACTACAAAGTGAGCCAAACGTGTCTTCGAACGATATAATTTATGAATCTAATATTGCAGATAAATTGGCAGGTGTCAAATGAAGATTCGTATTTGGACGAGGAGCCGCAAGAGATCAAGCCGCTGAAACTTGAATTGCCGATATTACATCTCGCAATTATAGACGTAAGTTATATTTTTTTAATATAATTAAAAAAAAGACCAGTAAAATACACCTTCTTACTAATATTAAAAGATGTGAGGATGGATAAACGAATGGATATTTGTTACTCTTTCAAAAACTACTAAACGGATTTTGATGAAACTTTACAGTAATATAAAAAAAAATTATTTAAAGATATAGTACTTAATACATAGTCGAACTACGCGTGCGGAAAAACGATAGTATTTTCTTTATCGGAATCGGACTCTTATTAAAATTGAGATAGGTATTTATAAGACCCAGTGGTAACGCGCTTCCTTGGGAAACCGAGTAAAGCGAGATCCCGGGTCTTGTACCTCTGATATTTTTCATGTGCGAATCATTTCCAAAATGATTACCACTCTGTCTTAACGGTGAAGGAAAACATCGTGAGGAAACCTGCATGTCTGAGAGAACCTGGCAAGTTTTCAAAAGTAATCCAAAAGTCCGCCAAACTGCACTTGGCCAGCGTGGTGGACTACGACCTGATCCCCCTCGTATTGAAGGGAGGCCCGCGCCCAGCTGTGGGACGTAAAAAAGGGCTGAATACATTTATAATACTTTTCGGCGTTCTTTACTGTCCAAACGACCAAATTAACTATTTTAATAACCTGGAATGTTTATTTGAGAATCTCTTACCTGATTACGATCATGTTATCTGCATGGGCGATTTAAACACGTGTCTCCTAAAAAATGACACGAGAACACATATGTTGAACGCGCTCATGACTTCATATGACTTGCACGTTCTACCTGTTACTTTCCCCACTCACTACTTTCCGAATTGTAGGCCATCTCTTATTGATGTCATGTTCGTCTCTAACCCTAACCTTGTTATTTCTCATGGTCAGCTGACTGCCCCTTTTTCTCATCACGATTTAATCTACCTTGCATATAAATTGCGACCTCCCAAGGTTAGAGGCAAAATAGTTTTCCAGCGCAATTTTAAGCATTTGGACCTTGAACGCTTAAGGGAGGATGTGAGGAACATAGATTGGTCGTCTGTACTGTCTTCTACTAACATCGACTGTATGGTTAATTCACTAACTACTGAATTGATTAATTTATACGATGTACATGCTCCTGTTAGGCCAGTTAGAATGAAACATGCTCCTGCCCCATGGCTAACGCCAGTCATCAAAAGAACTATGGCTAAACGTGACAGGGCCAAAGTTAAAAACAAAAAATATCCATCTCAGGAAAATCTTAATGCATACAAGAAACTGCGCAACATCTGCAATAGAATGTGTAGGGATGCTAAGCGTCGTTATATTCACTCCACCATTCAGGATCTTTGCCAAGCACAAGTTTGGAGGTTCTTAGAGTCGCTAGGCGTGGGCAAAACTTCGGATACCCATGTGGTCTCCGAAGATCTTAATACATTAAATTCTCATTTTGCAACTCCACCCATAACTTTAAACCCTCAAGTGAAATCCGATACCCTTAAATTTTTATCTCACGTTGTCCCACCTGACTCTCTCCCTTTCTCATTTAAATCTGTCTCTGAAGACATTGTTAAGAAGTGTGTCCGATCTATCTCGACTAAAGCCATTGGAAGTGACAATCTCAGTCTACATATGATTTTACCTGTGTTAGAGGACATTGCACCAGTGATCACCCACATTTTAAATTTTTCACTATCTTCCAATGTCTTTCCTTCACTGTGGAAGAATGCTTTTATCATCCCATTACCTAAAACCTCTAATCCTACCTGCCCCACCCAATTTCGCCCTATATCTATTCTCCCTATCCTCTCCAAAGTCCTAGAATCTATCGTTAACAGCCAACTTTACACTTACCTCACCTCGAATAATTTGTTATGTCCCTTCCAATCAGGCTTTCGTCCTTTTCACAGTACTGTTGGCGCGTTGCTGAACATCACGGAGGACATTCGGTCCGCCATGGACAACACTAAGCTCACTGTAATGGTTTTGCTTGATTTCAGTAACGCGTTCAGCTCGGTTGATTTCGATATACTTCTTGGCACTCTACGAACTGTTAATATGTCTCCCGCAGTTATAAATTGGTTCCAATCATATCTTTTCGGGCGCCGGCAGCGCGTGACAGCCAATGATAACTTATCGTCATGGTTGGATCTCACAGCTGGTGTTCCCCAAGGCGGCGTACTTTCCCCACTACTTTTTTCTATTTTCATTAATAATATCTCACATGTCATTTCTTCTCCCTACCATTTGTATGCAGATGACTTGCAGATATACCGACATTGTAATTTAATTGAGTTGCCTGAGGCTGTTACGGCTTTGAACAATGATTTAGCTGCGATCCAAAGCTGGGCTGAATCTTTCGGTCTATTAGTAAACCCCAAAAAATCGCAATCTATAATTATTGGTAGCAGCAGACTACGAAGTAGGATTGACTGGACCTTAGTACCTGATATCCTGTACTCTGGAATCCCTATACATTACTCGGATAAGGTGAGAATTTTAGGACTCATCTTTGATTGTAACATGTCTTGGGCACCTCATATTAACGAACTAAGTAAACGTATGCATTTTTCCTTTCATTCTCTCAAGCGTCTCCAATACTTTCTCCCATTCAAAACCAAAATAATGCTAGCGCAATCCATCCTATTACCCATTCTCGACTACGCCGACGTCTGCTTCCTGGATGTGACAGAGGAGCTACTTAATAAACTGGAGCGTCTTCAGAATCTCGCCATACGTTTTATCTTTGGCTTGCGGAAATATGACCACATCTCTGACTTCCGTGCTCAACTTAAGTGGCTCCCCATCCGTCTTCGCCGTAATATGCACATCCTATCATTCCTTTATAATATCCTTAAAAATCAAAATTTCCCTCCTTACCTTCGTTCCCGTTTTAACTTTCTACCAATCCCTACACGTTCCAGAAGATCTTGCAGTACTTCTATGCTCGACATTCCTAGGAGCAATACTAAATTCCAACAAAACTCTTTTTCTGTCCATGCCGCAGTACTATGGAACCAACTGCCCAAATCCATCCATGAGAGCCCATCTATTCATGTTTTTAAATGTAAATTAAAAAATTATTTATTCTCACAAATGTAGACAATATCAATCAGTACCTTTCTCCATTTTCATATTTTATATATTAACTATATATATGTATATATGTTTGTATGTATAAGTAGTCTTTACATCAGGTATTATATATGTATAGTATTATATATTTTTGTATATATGTATATATGTATGTATGTATGTATGTATGTATGTATGTATGTATGTATGTATGTATGTATGTATGTATGTATAAGTGGTTATTATTACCTTTATTTCTAGTATATATTTAGTTTTTTTTTTTGCACTATATTGCCCGCTGACATCTTCTTCCACAACCAGGGTTGACTGGAAGAGATCTCTTTTAGAGATAAGTCCACCTTTGTGAACTATGTTTACTTTGTTATTTTTTTTCTGTATCATATTTTAAGTGCAATAAAGAATATAATAATACACAGAGATCATAAATTCGATTGATACTTGATGTGAATATACTAGTACGGTCATTTTACTTACCTATTATATTATATTAAAGAAATTCAGATAAGCTTGGTATTTTTTTTAAATTATTATTTCTATTTTAGTTATTATTATTTTTTTATTTCACAGGCTCTTGGTACATCAAGAAATCAATTAGAAAGGGGGGACGGAGCGGACACTATAAAGTTTACAGATTCAACTATCTTATCAATGACGTCACTTCTAGATGATTTACAATCAATACCGGAAGTACCTAGCGAAGAGAAATTCGAAGAATAGCATTAAGAAATCGATGTTTACCTCGTGGGCTTTGTGTAGTGATGTTTTGGCTTAATAAAATGTATTGTTTCCGCATTTTTATAGGTTTTTTTTTTTAATTTTATTCTTAAGGTTGTAGCTACGGGTAGTTACATTTAAAAAAACTTACCTTTAAATGATATAAACACTATCATAAACTAGTAAAGAAATTTTACTGTCTTACATTTCTCTGTCTATCTGTCATCAAAGTGAAATTTCGAATAAATTTTTCAAACAAATTGTCCCGTTAACATGTTTACACAATACACGTTACACACATAAAGCGTGGGTTATAATGTTAGGAATGAATTGATCACCTCTGTATTTTAAATGTTAGTGAGCCTTTATGTAATTTCGTATAGAAATAATTGTAGTTTTTTAATTTTATCATAATATGGCTAGGATAAATATAATCAATCTCTCCTGTGACCACGATTACTGTGAAGAATTCGAAACTTCGGGAACCTAAAATGCAGCTTTGTTTTAAAATGTCAAGTATTCGCGTAAATCTAAGAAATTATGATGCTATTACAGCCCAACTGAGTTACTTTCGACACTCCTGCTTTCCGAATTAGTGAGAGACTATTACGTATAGTAGAATAATTTTGTAAGAAATTTATATTATATATACCACTTTTTTAATGCATTTACAATATCTATAAACAAATAAACTGACGGACAGACGGACAGACAGACAGACAGACAATTTAAATAAACAAGCAAAGTCATAGCTGTAACTATAGTATGTATAAACATTCTGTAACTTATTTACTGCAACTTTTCAAGTGAAACGTTGCTCTAATACAAGTTAATGCTACAAAGGTCTACCTCCAGTCAAATACTTGTAAGTAGCACTAATCCGACAGTTATTAATTTAATACCACACGAAGTAATCTATTCGTCTTTTCTTTCCAGTTATTTTGAACTCTATTGTGCATGAAATAGAGGTGATAATAAAATTTTTCACGCCTATTGGTTTTGGAATCGCTTTGATGTCTAACAGCAGGGTGTTTTATAAGGGTGTAATAAGTCTAAAATTAATAATGCACAATGTTTTGATGAAGTAGGTACTATAACGTTAATAAAGTTTTCTCTTTCGATAATAAAGACTATTTCTATAAGATTTTACAAAAAAAAAATTTTATGTACAGATTAGACTCAGACTTTTATTATATGTATAGATTTAATATCTATTTTTAGGATTACTCTTTTCTTAGTTTGAATTGTCTAAATCTCGGTGTAGTCTTAGACTATCTATGAGTCGAAGTTTTATGAAAATCTATCCTACAGTTTACGCGTAAAGAAAAAACAAATATAACATTCACCTACTAACTTTCAAATTTATCTATATATATAAAAGAAAGTCGTGTTAGTTACTTCGCTTATAACTCAAGAACGGCTGAACCGATTTAGCTGAAAATTGGCAGGGAGGTAGTTTAGAGCCAGGAGAAGGACATAGGATACTTTTTATCCCGTTCGACCGCGTTCCAATTTTTATGATATTTTAATTTTTGGATTTCTCTTAGTCCGGAATAGGTAAGTATTAAAACATATAATTAAAATGTGAGAAAGAAAGATTTTTTTTTTTATATCTATTTAAAACGTACCTAGCGACGAACCCGAGCGAAGCGAGGGTGAGCCGCTAGTAATGTTATAATTATTAATTGAATTAAATCCTTTTTGATCCTCCCTTGCTGGGCACGGGCCTGCTTTCAATAAGAAGGGGATCAGGTTATAGTCCACCACGCTGGCCAAGTGCGGGTTGGCGGACTTCACATGTCTTTTGAAAACTTGCTAGGTTCTCTCAGACATGCAGGTTTCCTCACGATGTTTTCCTTCATCGTAAGATAAGTTGTAATCACGTTCAAAATGATTCGCACATGAAAATATCAGAGCTTCACATTTATTAATTAAAAAATAATATTTGCAATTAATTGTTTATTAAATATTTTTGATTTAAAAAGAAATTCTAATTATTAATTTTAATAAAAACATATAAAAAAAATATTTAATTTCACTTTACACGAAAAATTGAGTATTTAAAAATACGTATACAAACAAAGTTCGACTAATCGCTTGTTTTAATATTTAATATTAGTATTATCAATGCATACTTCTAAATTATAAATCAAGTATAAATTTTTAAAGCCTCCCCACATATAATTTGCTTGAAAAACCAAACAAAAGACACGTGTCTGAGAATACTGTTCTGGTCGTCATAATTACACTATAATACCCAACTCATGATGGATGACCGCACGCCCATGTACTTTGTAAGGTAATCGCTTATGGTTCCCCTTTGGGAACTTCTTTAGGGCTAATTTTTGAATTTGCGATTTTGAGAGTAATATTATATTAATTATAAAATTCAAATGAAACTAGAGAGATGTTTCTCGCGTGATCATGATTGCTGTAAAGCATTCGAAACGTCGGGAAACAAATATCAAAATATATCCGCGAAAAAAATGGAAAAGATATTTTTTTTTAATGTCAAATATTCGGGTAAATCTAATAAAGTATTATGGCCATTCGTTGAATATTAAATAACCAAAGTATCTGAAAATTAATAATTGGAGTCCAATTTAAGCTCGTATATATACTAACGATACGGAAGTTATTAAAAAAAAAACAGATTTTAATTTTTTTTGGTCTGTCTTTGTTCCAGTTAATCTCCTAAACTTATATACAGAAGACTAAAGAGAAAAGTCAGAAAACTAAAGTTTTAATATCCTTGCGAACAGAATATTTGGTTAAATAAAATTAAAAAAATCTCTGATTATTTTTATATACGTAATCTATGTATACATATAATAAAATTGTAACTAAGCCGAATCTGTACGTTAAATATTTTTTGAAAAATCTTATTGAAATAGACATTACTATCGATACAGAGGCCAAATCTATAGTTATTAGAATTTTTGTCTGTCAGTCTGTTACCGCATCACGGAAAACCCACTGGAAGGATTTTGATGAAATTTGGTGTGGTGATCGCTGGTTATCCGGGTCAACATATAGGATACTTTTTACCCTGGCATAATATCTCATTTCTGAGAAAAAATACAAAAACTGCAATGTAAGAGTATACTAATATGTAAAACCTAAGAATTTAATTTTTGGTCATCTGAACGCGGGCGGAGCCGCCGACAATGCTAGTTCAGGTACAAATTAATAAAAATTGAGTAATTAATTATAAGTGGAATAAAACTGATAATCAAACTCATTGGTCATTTCAGCTTAATAGACAATTTAAAGGTGAAAAATATAGGCAAAGTCATTTAAAAAGCTTGTATAGCAATAATTATAATAACTATGTAAACTCTAATCTGGTTTCCGCTTCAAAGACCGTGCTAAGTTTCAATCCAGACGATATTGACAAGTCAATCATTTATCACTATGGTCTAGCAAAATATATCTATCTATACCTATGTTGTACATTGTAGGTCCGTTGTAGGTGTATAAGGGTAACAGGTTCGATTTTCTTTTAGAGCATTTATAGTCATATACATCGATAAGTACTTTTTAATTAAAAATACAACGACTTCAAATCATTTTAAACATAGTTATTCCACCCTTATAGGCGCTTAAGATACTTAGAGGTTTTTCTAAAAAATGTATATAGATATCGTAACGTAGCATACACATAAAAATCACCACAGAAATAGGTACCTCACCTCTTTTTTTCCTTTAAAAGGGAACATAGACTTAAAATTACTTCAAAATTTCGCTCTTAGAGGTGATATTTTTCTTATATTTATATGAGACCACCTTCGAAATATCACACCGCATTACAAGAAGACATATGAAAATATGTTCATTATCCACCAACATATCGCGTAATATTTAAACAAAAAAGTGAACAATAATATGAACACTAAATGAGTACGTCTTCCTTTTTAAAGAGGGTACATTCACTAAGTGTATATATACTCTTAAAGAGGGCTATGTCCAAACGCTAAAAATAACAAACTCCTAAACACTAAAATATGAAAAAAAAAACACTCGAAAATAAGATACTCCTTGTACCACATGGCTTAGATTTTATTTTTATCCCGCCAAGAATCAAGGACCTAGGTATCCAAGATGACCGAACCCGTCCATTTATCACTCGGCTCTTTTTGCGCTCAATTCAATACTTTTTGTGTGAAAGATTAAATTTCGAGCCACAACCATTAATCAACGACCATTATAAAAAGATCTTCCCGCCCTCCTTCATTTTGTAAAACGGACGATCAAAATGAGGAAAACGATTCGGTTCCAGAGTTCACGTAATACTTGTTTCGTCTGTCCCCATCTTGTAATTTTTTTTATTCTAACACGTCTGCTCGCTCGCTGATTATGATTTCTGTACAGTTAATGCTGGGTGAATTGATATTTGATGACATATTCCAAATAAGTACAGTACATACGTATAAAGATTTAGTATTCATATATTGTTATATCCAATTTTTAACTTATAAAATATTAACACAAAACTTATAAATTGTTGATGATTTATAATAAATTTTTACATTTTAATTATGAAGCGACTTACCCTCGCTCGGGTAATTTAAAACTTCATAGGCGAGAAACAGTATCCTATGTTGCTACAGGTCATCTGTATAAAAATTTTACCCTCGGGGTTGGAATGGATAATATTTATCCATTGTCCACTCTCAAGATTTAACTTATTCAACGTAAGAAATTATTGATGACGCGAAGAAATCGCGTAATATAATCATAAGAACAAACATATAAATACATATATAACCTAACACACACACACACACACACACACACACACACACACACATATATATATATATATATACAAACCAAACCAAACCTAAGCACTTGCCAAATTAATCCTAATTACACTATAATGACAGTTTATTAAAGATGTTAACAGCTCAGTGGTTACCCTGTATTTGTTCATCCGAGACCATTTTCATCAACACCCTATATAATATCTAACTAGAAACGCCTTCAAACATTGACAATAC